AACATTTAAATGTTTTAAAAATTAATTTTAAACGTTAAATTTTTAAAACATTTTAAAATGTTAAATTTTAAATTAAATTTAATTAATAATTTTAATTAAAATTATTAATAAAGTGACTTGAGTTCAAAATAAGCCTGTTATATCTTTAGCCAACACCTTTCACAGGGAAGCTTGCCATCATCTAAAGCTGTCAATTCTCAAAATAAAATTGTACAAACTTGTGCAACTATCTAAATTAAACTTTTTTTAACATCTCCTACCTAATCTTTTAAATGTTACCTTTTGACTGATTTTTGTTTTTGTTTCTTTTTGAGGAAGATTGGCCCTGCACTACATCTGTTGCCAATCTTCCTCTTTTTCTTTTTTCTCCCCAAAGCCCCAGTACATAGTGTATCATAGCTGTAGAGTTGTAGCTCTTCTACATGGGACGCCACCTCAGCATGGCTTAATGAGCAGTGAGTAGGTCCTCACCCAGGATGTGAACCTGAGAACCCTGGGCCGCCACAGCGGAACACGCAAACTTAACCGCTACGCCACGCCACTGGGCCGGCCCCTGACTGATTTTTGTATGTAAAACCAACTTTGCATTCCTGCGATAAACTCCACCTGATCATGATATACTATCCTTTATGTATATTGCTGGATTTGATGTCCTAATATTTTCAGGATTTTTGTGTTAATATTCAAGAGAGATATCAGTCTGTACCTGGTTTGGATATCAGAGTTATGGTGGCCTCAAACAAAACAGTCAGGAAGCATTCCCTCCTCTTCTATCATCTGAAATATTTTGTCTAGAATTGGTATTATTTCTTCCTTTAATAAAATTCAACAGTGAAGTCATCTAAGTCCAGAGTCTTCTTCATAAGAAGCTTTTTAACTATAAATTCATTTTCTTTAATAAATACACAGCTATTTAAATTTTCTATTTCTTCTAGTGTCACTTTTGATAAGTAGTGCTTTTCAAGAAGTTTGTCCATTTCATCTAAGTTATCCAATTTACTGGCACATAAGCTATTCATAATGTCCCTTGATTATCTTTTTAATGTCTGTAGGATATGTAGAGATGCTCCTTCTTTCCTTCCTAATATTGGTAATCTGTATTCTCTCTCTCTTTTCTCATGATCAGTCTTACCAGGGGTTTATCAATATTATTAATCTTTTCAAAGAACCAACTTCTGGTTTTGCTGATTTTCTCTATTATTTGCCCTTTACTGATTTCTGCCCATGTATTTACTATTTCCTTCTTCTATTTTCTTTAAGTTTAATCTGTTCTTTTTATCTAGATTCTTAAGGAGGAAGCAGAAGTCGCTGATCTTTCTAATACAGGCATACAATGCTATAAGTTTCCCTCAAAGGACTACGGTAGCTGCATCCCACAAATTTTGATATGTTCTTCCATTATTCTATTCAAATTATTTTCTAATTTCTCTATGAATTCTTCTTTGACCCATGGGTTAGTAAGCAGTGTGCTGTTTAATTTCCTACTATTTGAGGGTTTTCTACGTATCTTATTGTTATTGATTTCTAACTTAATAACATATTAGTCAGTGAACATATTCTTTATAATTTCAAAACTTTTAAATTGACTGAGACTTATTTCTACAGCCCAGCACACAGTCTATCTCGGTGAACGCTCCACATGCACTTGAGAAGAATGTGTATTCTATTTGTTGGGTGTAGTATATTAGAGGTGACAGGTCAAGGTGGTTGACAGTATTGTTCAGATCTTCTAAATCCTTATTTTCCTGGTCTATTTGTTCTATCAATTATTGAGAGAGGAGAGTTAAAAGTTTCCAATTATGATGGTAAATCTGAATGTAGTTCCCTCTAGTTCTCCACAATTCTGCTGCATGCATCTGGAAGCCATGTTACCAGGTGCTGTGCACAAAGGAGCTATCACAGCAGGCCTGACTGTTCTGCTCTGAGAGGCTGGCTAACAGGCTGGCCCTCGAATGGAGTCTGGGAACTTAGATTTCCCAAGGGTTCCCACCACCCTAACTGATAAGAATGGCTCACTGTGCCCACAGTGTTTGTACAAAGTGGTTTATGTGGAACACCTGCTTTCCTTTTGAGACTCTGGAATTTTCGTACATGTTAGGCAAAGGGTGCCTATGTGACCAGTCCCCAAAAAACCCTGAGTTTTTTGAGAGCCCCTGGGCACTAAGTCTCAAATACGAATCCTTGGTTGGCAGCATTTCACAGGTGTGGTCACAGCTCCTTGGTGGGGGAACCAAGTGCGTCCTGTGGGACTCCACCAGCAGAGGGCCCTTGGAAGCTGCACCCATTTCCCCCAGGCATCCCCCCATATGCCTTTTCCCTTGGCTGATCTTGCTGTGTATCTTTTTGCTGGAATAAATCTTTCCTGTGAAGATGACTACATGCTGAGTCATGCTGAGCCACCCATCGAGTCATCAAACCTGGGGGTGCACACACAGCTAGGCCTGTCGTGTCTTCTTGATTACCCTCACCATTATGAAAGGTCTTCATCTCTGATAACACCCCTCACCTTGAACTCTACTTTGTCTGATATCAGGATAGCCACAAAGCTTTCCTATGCTTGGTATTTACGCGGCACATCTTTTTTCCATCCTTTTACTTTCATACATACAGTTTGAAGACATAGAGTTTAAAGTGTGCTTTTTTATAAACAACCTATAATTGGGTCTTAAATGATAACTTTTAACATATGACTTTAGATCAGGAATTCCACTTGCAGGAATGATTCTACAGACATATGTGTACATAGAAAAAAAATGATGTAAATGAAGTTATTCATTGTAGCAGTGGCTGTAACAGCAAATTATAGGAAAATGTCTGAGTGTTCACCAATAAGGCCCTGGGTAAATAAATGATAGTTCATCCATACAAAGAAATACTATGCTGTCTTAAGAAAGAATAAGAATGGGGCCGGCCCTGTGGTGTAGTAGTTGAGTCCAGCATACTCTGCTTCGGTGGCCCGGGTTCACAGGTTTGGATCTTGGGCGCAGACCTACACTACTCGTCAAGCCATGCTGTGGTGGTGACCCACATACAAAATAGAGGAAGGCTGACACAGATGTTAGCTTAGGGCTAATCTTCTTCAAGCAAAAAAAAAGGAATATTGGCAACAGATGTTAGCTCAGAGCAAATCTTCCTCACCCCAAAAAAAAAAAAAAAATTCTTCATGTAATGACGTGAACAATCTATAAAACTTATTGTTAAGAATATTTTTTGGGCCGGCCCCGTGGCTTAGTGGTTAAGTGTGCGCGCTCTGATGCTGGCGGCCCGGGTTCGGATCCCGGGCGCGCCCCGAGGCACCACATCTCCGTCCAACCCGAGGCCGAGTCCCGCGTACAGCAACTAGAAGGATGTGAACCTACGACATACAACTATCTACTGGGGCTTTGGGGGGAAAAAATGAATAAATAAAATCTTTAAAAAAAAAAACAAACAAAAGTAAATAAACAAAATAAAATGGGAAAATATACAAAATTTCCTCTGTAAAAGTCTAGGAAAGAGGAAACTGCTGTCCACTATCTTGTGAGCTCCTGAGGCAGGGCCGCTGGAGCTGGTCGACCTAGGCTGGAAACCCAGCTGGCCGGCTAGAGCTGGGTCACCCCAGGGAACCCACTTCACTCTTCTCGGGCTGTTTCCTCCTCTGTAAAATGGGGGCCATGACGGTACCTGCTTCATAAGGCTGTTGTGAGGACGAAGTGAATTAACACAAGGAAAGTGCTAAGAAGTGAAGTTGTGAGAGCAGCAGCCACCACAGGACCTAACTCAGAGGCAGACACACAGCAGGGGCTCTGTCAAAGGCACGGAACTGAACCACGCAGGAGGGGGTGATTCAGTCAGAGTGAGGTATTCACGGACCCAGCACGCCCACAACTGACTACATGCAGAATCGCTCTAGCAGTTGCAGAGGACAGCCTTGGCAAGCCAAACCCTGTAAGAAGCCACGTGTCCACACTAGCAGGCCTGGACCCTTCCTGTGCATCCCCACAGGCCACCAGGCCTCACTAGGACACTCCCAGCACGTGGGCGTTCTGTGGCAGCACAGAAGCACCAGCTTCTCCAGCAGGATCCCGTGGCCCGCAGGGCACAGACGGATGCAGAGCCACACGGCCAGGGCCTGAGCGTGCAAATGGCTCTGGCCATCCAAGCACAGGCTTCTGCCAGGAGGAGGGCTCCGCCTCTGCAGTTCTCACCAGCAGGCTGAGAGCAGGCTGTGCTGAGCCACGCACAAGCGACCTCTTACAAACAACCTGGCTCAGAAATAACCCAGGAAATCGGATCACCTGGGTTTTTAAATTGCTCCACTGTGGGCAGAAAGAAACCTTTACCCAGGGTCAGAAGTGCTGACCGAGTCGCTGAATCACGTATTCTCTTTGCTGACAGGCCCCTTTGCCTCCTGCCAAGGCCCAAGGTAATGGGTACACTGGTGAGACTCAAACAAGTGAAAATCAATAGCATCTCAGCTGAGAGCAGTAACGACGCGCATTTGACAACAAATAGCAAATGGCTTTACCTGCTTCATCAGCGGCCCCTGAAGCCACTTGAGGACACACTGGAACGCCGTCGACTCCCTTAATGGCTGGCGTGCTCTCTGTGGGTGGGGAGGGACCAGCAGACTTTGGTCAAAAGTCCTGTGCCAGTCATCCATGCTGCCAGTCTGAGGGTCACCTGGGCCTCCAGGACTACCTGCACCATTTGTGTTCAAATAAATAAGAAAGTTATAAGGGCCACAGTGCTCAGAGCAATTCTGAAAGTTTCCTACCTCCCACTGAATCCCAGGGAAACCACCATTCCCAAAACCCACACTCTGCAATCCCACCCTCCAAACCCCAGTGCAGTAGACTGGCGCCCATGCTGCCTTCCCCTGGTAAACATGCCCACCTCGCTCCAAAGAACTTCTGCCCCTCCTCTCATGAACCAACCAGGGTGTGACTATCCTGGCCTCAGTGACTGGTTTAGGGATGACACATGAAGGGCCACTTTGTACAGTTGTGGAAGTTGTGCACTGCACAAGGGCACTAGGCCTTGGGGACTAGGGCTGTCTTACAAGAGACTGGGGAGCATGACCCAATCATAGAAAATGAAATAAAAACTCAGAGGTTCTGCCGGTTCTGTTGAGAGAGGGAAATACTCTTTTCTAAAGCCCTTGGAGCAGAGAGGTCATCAGCCTGAAGCTGCCAGGGGCCACCATGGGAGCAGCTACCTTGAGACACACATAAAAAAGCAGGCAGCGCAAAAACAAGAGCAAGACAAAGGGTCCGGGGGTCGTCGTTAGAGCTCTGGCTCATGGGGACCCTAACACAGTCACCCCAGGACCGCTCAGCGACGTGAACAGTCCCTTGTTGCCTAAGCCTGTTTGGGACAGGTTTGGAGTGCTACAGGTTCCTGGTGCCCTGGCTCACTAAGGATGTCATCTGCCTTCCAGCCGGACAGGGATCTGAACCTTCTCCAGACTCTTGTCAGCTGCCGCAGAATCTTAAGATCTCAGCTTTGACACAAAGCTGAACTCTGCACACTAAAACGACCCGTGAGGAGGAAGAGCAGCAGGTTTGGTCTTCTAAGGTAGCAGGTCTCTAAACGTGGTCCCAGACCCCAGAAGTTCCCCAGGGTTGTCAAGGGCTCCACGAGGTCAAAGCTAAATTCATCATATCCAGATGTCACTCGTCTCTTTCTCTGTGTTGGCATTTGCGCTGATGGAGAAAAGGCAATGGTGGGCAAAGCTGCTGGGGCCTCAGCATGCCCCGGGCCCAGGCACCACACTGTACGGGTCCTCCCATGCTCTGCACCACTCGCAGTAAAAAATACATCAGCTTCACTTAAGAATGTCCTTGGGGGCCGGCCCTGTGGCTTGGTGGTTAAGTGCGCGCGCTGCGATGCTGGTGGCCCGGGTTCGGATCCCGGGTGCGCATCGAGGCACCACTTCTCCGTCCATCCTGAGGCCGAGTCCCACATACAGCAACTAGAAGGATGTGCAGCTATGACATACAACTATCTACTGGGGTTTTGGGGGGAAAAAATAAAATAAATAAAATCTTTAAAAAAAGAAAACCTAAAGGATACTTTTAAAAAAAAAAAAAAAAGAATGTCCTTGGGGGCCGGCCCGGTGGCACAGTGGTTAAGTGCACGTGCTCCACTGCGGCGGCCTGGGGTTCGCTGGTTCAGATCCTGGGCACGGACCTACCACCGCTCATCAAGCCATGCTGAGGCAATGCCCTACACAGAAGACCTATGACTCTACAACTATGATACACAACTATGTACTAGGGCTTTGGGGAGAAAAAAAAGAAAAAAGAGGAAGACTGGCAACAGATGTTAGCACAGGGCCAATCGTCCTCAAAAAATAATAAATAAATAAACCCTTTAAAATGAATCCTCATATTACAGTATTTCCTCTGTCCATTTGGAAAAAAAGCTACAAAACAAACCTTAAAAAAAAAAGAATGTCCTTGATGAAGCTGTGAAAACTCAATTTTATTACATCTCGACCCTTGAGTGTATGCACTTTCAGTATTCTGTGGTGAAACACGAAACACACATAAACACCTGCTACAAAATGCACGACAATGGTCACTCTGGTGAGCCTGGTGTGACCATCTGGGCTGTGAGCTGAACCAGCTGCCCTTCCATTCGACAACACCCTTCTTACTAAAAAGAATGGCTGAGAGACAAACCATAGTTATTCGGACTTGTACTCAGCCAATATTTTCTCCAACATGAACGAAATGAGCCTGTCACTTCAAGGAAATACAGTAATAAAAATCGAGCTTTTGGGCAAAAATTAGAATTGGGGAAATCTGTATTCTCCACCATGAGTGAGCCTGACAGCTTCATACTCCTTAACGACTTTTTTGATGAGACGGGTAGTAATGGCAGCAAAAGTGATCTTTTGCAATTGTATGATTACACGTGTCAACATGTGGAAGATGTGCATAACTCACAACCAGAATTTTCCAAGTGAACAATGCATAATGATACAAAATCCTGCATGAGTAAAAGATCCACCCAAAATGCAAGACAGACCAAAAGATTTTAACGTCGTAACAGAGTATGAAAAGTTCACTGGCAGGGTGTCAAACTCAACATCTCACTTGTGTCATCTGCAGATGGGACTAGTGTTAAGGATCTTGAGGGGAGGAGAGTATCCTGGATTACCCAGGTGGGCCTGATGTAGCCACAAGGGTCCTTCAAGAGAGGGGCAGGAGGGGTCAGAGAAAAGGCCAGGTAACCAAGGACGCAGAGATGTGAAGATGGAAGAAGGGGACATGAGCCAAGGAAGAAGCAGGTGGCCTCTAGAAGCTGGAAAAGGCAAGGGAACGGGTTCTCCCCTGGAGCCTCCAGAGGAACCAGCCCCACCCACACCTTGAAGCCAGCCTGCTGAGACTGACTTCAGACTTCTGGCTTCCAGAACCAGAAGTGAATAAACTTGTGTTGTTTTAAGTCACCCAGTTTGTGGTAATTTGTTACAGAAGCCACAGGAACTCATACAGATGTCCACAACCTGTAAGCAGAAGAGGCCTGACCAACACCCAGCCGGAGAGCTACCGGCCCAGGAGAGCTTCTGGGCGCCTCCCAGGGGTCCAGCCCCTGGGCCCAGGTGGCCCCTGTGCTTCCCCTGGTCATGGCACTTGCCACCTGTCCCATACTGATCTACTCACTGGCCAATTGCTCACAGAGGGGAGTCTATTTCCCCATGTCCTTACTACCTGTGGCTCACCATCAGAACTCAATAAATATTCACAAAATCAAATGGAAGTTTCAGTAAGTTGAGTCCCAAGCATTTTTTTCAGGGAAATGTTGTTTTCCTATTGATTTTCATTATAAAATTGGGACATTTATTCATACAAAGCGAGTGCCATAACAGACTGAGATGGCATCTCTACAAAGGAAGTCCTCCCTGCCTCGGGAGCAGTGGCAACGCCTGCACCGAGATGTCCCCTGGAAGGAGCCGTGCCCACCGTGCATTCTGCCCCGGGCGGCATTTCCCCAGCCCCAGGACTGCGCCTCCTTTGTGGGTCGCTCCAGACTTGGCTCACTTGCCCGATTCCTGCCCCAGTACCTCCTTCTCCTTCCCTGGGTGACTGCAGGACTCAATACCACACTTGGCCAGTAGAGGGTGCTGAAGGACATTCACGTTCCAGTCCACCCCACCAGGGTAACACATCAACGGGGGGAGCCCCTGCTGCGCCAGTAGGACACACACTGGGAAGAAAGGATCTATTCTGAAACGTACCGCCATGCAAAATCAAAGCACTGATCTGGGCGGGTGAAGGCAGCAAAGGTCCAAGTCGGCAATGGAGGAAGAGGTGACACCTGAGGCGGGCTCCAGGGGTGGGAGCCCCCAGGCGCTGTGACACAGAGCTCTTCCCTTCCCCCCGGCCCTCCCTCCTCTCCACCTCCACTCTGCCCTTGCCTCAGTGCCTCCCAGACACCACAGCCTCTCTTCCCCTCTGGGCACAGGCACACACTCCTGGATAATTCCCACTCCTCTGTCCTTCAGGAGTCAGATCAAATGCCACCTCCTCAGGGTAAGCACCCCCATCCCCCACCAGTTGCTCCCCATGTGGGATCCTGTCACAGAAGAGTCACCACACCCCATCGGGCACGCGGTTGCGGTTACTGTCCTCCTGCGAGACTGTGAGCTCCATGAGGTCAGGACTAAGTCCTCAATGGAAATCTTTTCAATGATTAAGTAAATCAGTAAATTATGCTGTGCAGGAATTAAGAATGCTGTGGAGGAAGGGCAGATTGGGGCTAGATGAACAAAAGAGAAAATTGGGAGGGTTCCATGCTTTGAGCCCAAGAAAAGAGTACAATGGACTGACTCTCCAGGGGGAAAAACACGAAGAAAATCTACCAGCTTTTATTGAGCCCCTGTTGTGAACCAGGCACTCACATTTTCATATTTATTATTCCAACTACTCTGTAAGGTAAGTACCATTATTATCCTCATCTTAAGATGAGGGAAGTGAGACTCAGAGAGGGTAAGCGGCCAGTCCAAAGTCACACAGGCAGTCGCGACTCCCTCAAAGCCACTACAACCACACCTGCCCCCATGTCCCACCAAGGCCAGGAGAAGCCAAGGGAGAGGAGGCCCCAGAGGGTCAAGTGAGAGCCCTGGCCAAGGACCCGGCTAATCCTCGCTCTCCTCTCTGCCTTGCAGAAAGTCTCTTGCCCTCCCTGTGCCTGTTTCCCATCTACAAAATGAGGGGGCAGTGAAGTCTCCTTGAGGTCTTTGCTGCTGCAGACCCAGTCAACAAACATTCACCAAGCACCTGCTCTGTGCCCCAATGCACAATGGTGAAGAAGACTGGCAAACGCTGTCTTCAAGAATCTAAGAATCCAGTGGGGAGAAAGACAAGGGGGAGACGGTGAGCAGCACGGAGGCAACAAGCCAAATCCATGTTATTCCTCGGGCGAAACAGGGCAGAGCTGGGAAGAGTGGGGACCAGGGGGCTGAAGAGGTGAGCTGGGCTGAAGCCTCACAAACGAGGGTTGGCCAGGGGAAGGGAGGGGCAGGAGCCCAGAGGACTGTCAGGCACAGGGAAGCTTCTCCCAGAAGTGAACAAGATCTGGAATGCCTGAGACCCAAAGGCTCTGGGGAGCTGTTTCAGGAGTAAGTGGAAGTCTAATTAAGCTCTACCTGGAATTCCCTTATTCAAGGAATATTCTGCGTACCTACCACGTGCCAGGCCCTGGAAAACCTTTGAATACAGCGGACAAGCTCCTTGCCCTCATGGAATGTATCTGGAGGGAGGCAGAATGACCGGATACAAATTAGCACACAAAAACACACGGTTGTGACCCACAAAAACAAAACGACAGAGAGGAGTGGAGGGTGCGGTGAGCTGTGATGGAGACCTGGGTTAGAACCCAGCCCACTATCTGCAGTCATCTAAAATACTCCTTTTCCAACTACACAAGTGTGAAGTTAGACTTCTTGGTGACTTCAGCAAAAACGACACACCGCCATAGGCACTGAAGAGATGTGCAAAGGTGGGACCTCTGAGTCTGAAGGCGCGGGCAGGAGAGCAAGCATTCAGGCCGCAGGAAGGGCCCAGGTGGCGAGCTTGGAGCCAGTCAGCAGGCTGGGCAGCAGAGGGTGAAGGCAGGAGCCGCTCCAGGGGCGGCCTGAGCCCCGCTCCAAGCAGCGGGGCAGAGCCTCCTGTGAGGGTCGGGGAGTCTCAAGATCTCCACTGGGCAGCAGCGCTGGGATGAGCGAGCAGCGGACAGACACACAGCCGGGGACAGACACACAGCCCGGGGCAGGCACCCAGCAGGGGTCCCCTGCAAGGATAGCGGGGACGCCGCGTCAGGGAAAGCCAACGCCAGGGTTTCGGCAAAGCCCAAGCCGTCCACACCGCGCTCTCCTTAAGCTGGGGGGCTGCAGAGGGGCGCAGGGTCAAGGGGCAGAGGGCGGAGGTTGGGCCCCCAGGAGTCCCCGACGCCCAACGGAACCCGGCGGCCCGGGCCGCACCAACTGCCAGGACGGGGGTGCGGGTGCGACTGAGGCGGGCACAGGCCCGCGCCCCGCCCGGCCGCCGCGCCCCGCCGGCACCGGGTCCCCGCGGAGAGAGGCACGGAGCATGCCTACCCCGGGCCGAGGCCCCTGTCGGCTCCGCGGCCCCCCGCTCCTCGAGGCCGCGGCCAGCCTCCCCCGCGGCGCCGCCAACATGGTATCGCCCGCCGCGGGCAGCGTTACCTAGGAGACGCGCCCGGGCGACGAAGCCCACGCTTTCGAGGAAGTGCCCCCACGACGGACCCAGAGCCCCGGCGACTGGCCGGGGCCCGCGGGAGCCCCAGGCCTCTCGATTCGAGGACCGGCCGAGAGGCGCCCGTCCGCTGCCACCCACGGGAGGAGCCTCGGAAGGCTGCGCGCCGCGCGCTCGGGCCGAGAACCCGCCCCGCGTCATTGTCGTCGGCAGGGCCGGGGACCAATCAGAGCCCAAGTCGAGGGGCTCCGCTCCAGCAGCTCCAGCCAATCGGCGCGGCGGCGGGCCCGTCCTGATTTGCATGGCCGGCGATCCCTCACCCAAGAGGAATGTGACTGGCGTGAATACCAGCCAATGAGAACCTGCAAGAGGCGTGGCCCCGGGCGTCCCACGAGGTGAAGATGCAGCGGGCGGAACCTGGCCGAGCGAGCGCGATTCGGGGGCGCTAAAGTCGCAGGGGCCGGGCGGGAAGGAAGATCCGGAGCGGGACACGGGATCCGGAGCTGGAGCCCCCAGGTGAGTGCAGCGGGAGACCCCCGCGGGCTGCGCTGCCTGCGGCCGTGCGCCAGAAGAGCGGCGGCGGGCACCCGCGAGGCCCGCGCTGATTCTCCACCTCCTCTTCCCCAGCGCGTCCCCGCGCCCGCCTCCGTTCTCACCTCCTCTCCAGCCGGCTCACCTCCTTCTCCATCGTCTCCCTTCCCCCATCTCGCCCTCCCTAACCTGCCCTATCTGCCATCCCGCCCGACCTTTCAGCTCCCATCCCTGCCCCAAACTTCATCCCTCCCCTGGTCCCGTATGCGTCGCTTCCCCATCTCTGCCCCCTCCCGGTGCAGCCTCGCCTCCCCCTGCCCCCAACCCGCTCCCCATCCCCTCTCCCGACCTCTGCGCAGCCCCATGGAGCGCTCCGGGTGCTGGTCCTCCCCATCTTTTCTCCTGCAGGCTCATCCTGCCTCTCTTTCTTGGTCCCTATCCCCATCCTCCCACCCGTTCTGCTCCTAGTCCCTCCGATCTCTCCCCGTGGGCACTCTCTCCACCTTGCCCTGCTCCGCAGGACCTTGGTACTACTCCCTTCCCGCACCAGTTCCTCTGGCTACCTACACCCCTACCTGCCCATACCCCATCTTCAGCTTCTCTTCGCTCCCCACTTCCCTACCTGCTGCTGCTCCCGCAGGACGCAGAGACCCAGCAGCTGCACCGCTCCTTGCTGCAGTAGCAGCAGCCAGTGTACCTGCCCACCTTCCCACCCTCCCACCCAGGCACACCCTGGCTCTGCTCCTCCTGGCATTTGTCCTGGGGGCTCCTCTGGGGGCTATGCTTTGCCTAGAGTTTCCAGGTGGGAAGCCCCTTGGCACCCTTTCCTGCCTTCCTCCCTGGCCACCATCTCCCTCCCCACCCCACCCCCACTTTCCTGCTCAGCCTCACTTTGTGATTCAGCATTTTTGGGGTTGGTAACTTTCTTTTCTTCCTGGCGTGACAGGGACCTGGCTGTGGGGCTGAAGGCAGGGGGTCTTGACCCTGTGGTTAGCGAGGCCACCTTAGGAAACAGACCTGAGCTGCCCGGTGGGCACAGGGGTGGGGATCAGGGGACCCGCCAGTGGGGGCTGCCTTTTCCTCCCTCTCATTCGTCTGTCCTGTATTGAACCACATCCAAGGGGAGATGACATAAGTAATAGCTTTTGGGGAAATGAGCTATTAGCATTTATGGAAATGAATACATCCACATCCGAAGAGCAAGAACACCAAGTTCAGGCCACAGCTGTCTCACTGTCTGTTGTTTCAGGATTTTTTCTTTCTCTGCAATTTATCCTCCCCCTCAAAAACACCAGCTCCCTTCCAGTGCCAAGAGCAAGCTCCCACTCTGCTAATGTAGCCGCATTCAGTGTTGCAGGATTTGGGGACGTGTGCATGGAGAGTCTCAACTACCCTCCTGATTCTTGCTTGGCAAACGCGTCCACCTGCAAAGCCCAGGCTCATGTGCAGTTCCTGGGCTCCTGCCCCTGTGCTCCCGCAGTGTGGTGCCCAAGAGGGCACTGGCTCCCCAGCTCCCATCCGTCGGGAACTCTCACCAAGTCCACACCCTGCCTCGATGGCACTGACAGTGTTTGGGCTGCAGCATATTCCTCCCTCCAGAGCAGCCTGCTTCAGGCTTCCTGTACAAAACCGAGGTTCAGGGGGCTGGCCCGGGTGCGTAGTGGTTAGGTTTGTGCACTCTGCTTCCATGGCCTGGGGTTTGCTGGTTCGGATCCGGGGCGCGGACCTACGCACCGCTTCTCAAGCCATGCTGTGATAGGCATCCCACATATAAAGTAGAGGAAGATGGGCATGGATGTTATCCCAGGGCCAATCTTCCTCAGCAAAAAGAGGAGGATTGGCAGCAGATGTTAGCTCAGGTCAAATCTTCCTCACCAAAAAACAAAAACAAACAAACAAAAAAAAACGAGGTCCTGTTCCTTGTGTCTCTGCTCTGCCAGTCGACAGACACCGTGGGCACTGGTCAGCGCCCAGGGACTGAGCCAGGCCATGGCGGGGAAGGAGGGTCATGAAAAGTGTGAAACCTGGGTCTTGTGCTCCAAACCCTTTGGATGTGGATGTGGAGCCTGGATGGGAAAGAAGTGGGTACAAAAGTGATTGCACACAGGAGGTGTGCCAAGACAGCACAACACTTCTTGCCTAATGAGGGTCTCTGGCCGTGGGCACTGGGGTCAGAGGGGCAGCGAGCCCTGTGGGTGGGGCAGCTGGAGAGGCTTCACATCGTAGGGCTGCTTTCTTTCCTTTCCTTTGTCAGTGATCTTCTAAACCCCCAAATGATTCATCTTCTAAACCCCAAGTGATTCAGGAGGAAGTGCGTGGCACCGAGTCTCGATTTGGCAGTTTCCTGTAGGGGCTGGAGGGAGGGACCTCCTCTAGACTTTCCTATGTCAGTGCCGGGCTCCTGGCAACTGGGCAGCACAGCGTGTGGTGAAGGAAGGCCTCCTCTGCTGTTAGAACCCTGGGGAACATGTTTCGTTTCCAGGGACTCCGGCCGGAAGTAGCGTGTGTCTAGTCCTTGACTAAATTCTCAGTGACCTTCATGTCACCAAAGGTCCCAAAGCCAGAGCAGTTCCCAGGAGGCCCTGAATAACGGAGCACAGTGGCAGCTGTCGGTAGCATTCAGGAGGGACCGTCTGTGAAGGCATCCAGGGCCCAAGACCCCACTCCTGCCTCCGTCCCCTCTCTCAGCACCTAGGAGGTTCTGCCTCATAGAGGCAAAGCACCCTAGAGCTGCGAGTGTCGTGGCCACCTTTCGCCTCAGAGGAGTAAATGGAAGCCCAGAGGTGGAGACTTCAAGGTCACTCAGAGGCAGGGGCAGAGCCAGGGTAGACCCCTCACTTCCCACCAATTTGAGCGCAGGTCACTTTTTTGGCTCTCCCAGTTGGAGGAAGACAACACCCCATAGATGTGCCCGACCACCAGCTTTGGTCGCCCTTTGGGAAGGCCGCTTTGGTGCTGTTGGTGACCTGCGTGGAGGAAACCATGCCCTGGGGTGTGTCTGAGTCACTGGGGAGTGTTGGGAGTAGGAGGTGCCACCAACCACAGAGAATTCTCGGTGATGCCATCCTGCCCAGCCTGGCAGGCCCCCAGAGGGAGGCTGCTGTGGTTCCAAAGATGTCGTCAAAGGGATGGCAAGTAGTTAGAGGGGAGGCCGGGGCCCAGCGGCTGGGTGAGATGAAAGGAGAGAAGAGGCTCTGCCCACATTGGAGCTGCGCTTTCGACCTGGCTACGCTCTGGGTCCATGTAAATAACCCTTTGAGGTCGGCTGGTTAGCCTGGATGGGGAAACTGAGGCACGAAGTGGTGGTGAGACTGACCCGGCCTCCCATCTCGTGAGGGAACTTTGATTCTGTTCCTGCTCTGCCAGGACCCTGAGGCCAGTGCCCCCTCCTGGTCCCACCAACCTCCGGCAAATGCCTTACCCCCCACGGGTGGGTCTCCTGAGACTCACAGGA